AAAATAGACAATTATGTAGACTAGTTAGGAAGTGTGAAGCGTCTGCCAAACAATCACAGATATTCTTGCAAGACGTTAAATAAAATCTTTATTCGTTTTAAATGAAAATTTTCAGGTGTATCGAAATAATATCAAAAGAGTAATTATTGCCTTAAAAAATGGAAGGCGAACAAAGCAATTTAAGACAGCATGACCATAAAAATGGTCAAGCAGAAAAGATGTGGTAATTGAATGGCTAGTATTGGAGTTTATGGAGATTCAGGCAAAAAATTTACACAACTAAAACGCAACTAGTGTTTGTAATTCTGTGGTTAACAACTTTCGTATTTTAAAGAAATTCTACATAGAAAACATTCATTCAAATTAATCTTTTTCATTTGAAATATAAAATTAAAACAAAAGGTGGTAAAACTTTAAAATAAAACAGAATACAAAACAGCCGGATTGAAAAAAAAAACTTTTGAATGATAAGAAACAGCTTGGTATCATAGCAACAAAAGAATCCTTTACAAAGACCTTGAAATAGTTTTATCCCTAGTTAACGACAAATACTATTAACATGATATGGTCAGATGATTCTTTTCATATTTATCATTTTTTTTTATTCAATAACCGGTAAACATTGGAGATTGAACAGTGTTTAACCTAGTACTTAATCTAGTACGCAAATTTTAAATGAATACTAATGAAATAGATTTTTCAAATCAAATTACATAATCGGATACAGAGTATATACACATATCTACGAGGAGCAAATTCTTTTGAAAATACATCAGAATGAAGTAATATCATGGTATTCAAATCTTGTTTCTTTTATTGTCTAAGGTTCACAACATCAGTGATGTATACGCATAAATTCAATTTGAAAAGTCAATTTCAGTAAAATGTTGAGAAGTAACATTTTTGATTTGAGGAATATGAGGAGATTCTGAAATTATACAAACCTAATAATACACTTGACTAATATTTCACAACCTAAATGACAGTGTAGAAAGGTAAGTACAAAGTGTAACAGTAATCTGTCGAACATAGAAAGACCGAAATAATTTTAGATAATATACTGCTGAAGGATGAAAGACTCCCACAATATCCTACTCATAAACAGATTTTGTTCAATTTAAAATTAAAACAATCCATAAAGCGTTCATTATTTCACAAATGATTTATAAGAAAACATAAGCTTTTGACGAATTCATAAAATGACTCTTCTTAGGATTCACAAGACAGATATATAAAAATTTCTAATAGTGAACGAAGGGCATACGCTGGCTGGACCGATGAAAAGACCACAGAAGAAGATTTGCATTTTGCCGCCGATGATGATTTATGTGTGATGTCGCACAAACTCGAAGGTCTACAGGCGAAAACCAATAGGTTGGTAGAAGAGGGCAGCGAAGACGGGACTTCCTTCAGGTGAAGGTAGAGAAGACAGAGGTGATAGAGAAACCCAGCCAACAACAAAAAGTACCAATTACCACCGACGGTAGAAAAATAAAGGAAGTAGTCTCTCTCACCTACCTGGGAAACATCAGTCAACTACAGGTGGCACAGATGAGGACGTGAAAGTCAGCCAAGATCGGAAAAGCAAGACAGGCTTTCACTGATCTGAAATAATCAGTGTGGAGATCCACTGCACTCAGCACAAAGAACAAGATCCGGATTTTCAACACCAACGCCAAGTCAGTGCTGGTATATGGTTCAGGTCAGGAAAAGCACTTCAACAAACTACAGACATCAACAGCTCCCTACTTTCGATACTAAAGATCAGATGGCCAGAATAATAAGAATAAGCAACGAGGAACTCTGGTTTGGCAATGAACCAACCAAGAACCTATCACCCAACAAATATTCAGAAGAAGAAAGTGAAGATACGTCGAGCATACACTTACAAGATTATTTAGGGACATCATGCGCCAAGCCAGGTTGGCGAGTAGAACCTAAAAAGGGAAACGAAGAGTTGGGCGCCCCAGCTGAGGGTGACATGGAAGAGATCGTGTGAGAAAGAAATGAAAGCTTGTCGACAGTCTTGGAGCGAGGTTAAAAAGATTCCAGAGCATGAGTGAAATGGAGACGTGCTACTGAAGCGCTGTTTCACTAGGAACCCAAGGGAAAAAATAATAATAACAGTGAAGGAAGAAAGCTTCGGCCTGAATTTAACAGAACCTTACGATTAAGGTAGTATTCATTGGGAGACGGACATCAACCAGAGAGCTATTAAAAACCTGGGAGCACAGGTTAACTGTTGCGTTCTAGTGAGTGACTCCCCAGCAGTATGCACTCACAATCCCGCCAGGGATCAAACTCAGGACATGTAAGGCCGACCAATTGGAAGAGAAGCGGATGCCAACTGAAAACTTTGACTGATAGTCGCACTATACTGCAAAATGACAGCAGTATGAAGCTGTGAACAATTGAAATTCGACTCAGTGGCTGAATGGTTAACGTGTTCGCCATGAAATCTGAAGGTTTCGAGTTCTAGGTTATGGATGCATACTGTAGAAGAATTTCGTACTAGGACAAGACAGTTGTTTAGTGCTCTCACGTCTTCAATGATTCTCTAACTGATGTCAATCTTCTATGAATACTACCTTAAAAATGAAATCCTTATTAACCCCAGGATCCCAAACCTTTTGCTATTTTGTTAGCTTAGTACACGGTGGGTTATTTCAACAAATCAATAGAGGATCGGGAAGAAAAACGCACGTTCGCCATAAATAAAAATAGGAAATATGGAATTCGAAAATTCACATGGTTATTAAACTGAAATTATATACATGCAACACTGATAGTACTACATCTAGGTTAATGAGTAATATTCATATTTGTCTTATGCTCAAGACTTCATTCAGGAAGTGTTAAAATAAGATAGGCACGAAGTAAAACTATCTTATCAAGAAGATGATTCACACTGATACCATAATCCCTGTTAAAGTAACATAACATATATATTATATAAGACGCTTACATGATAATAACCAGATATTATATGAAATCATATAAATATGCAATACATTGACAACTGACCACACACAAGTTCTTCAAAAGAGACCACTCTACCACCTGAGACGAAAATGCTCAAATGTTCGGTAGAATTCGGTTAGCAGTGAAGATCAGACATTATGAAATGGGTTACTTTCCAGTAATCAAACAGTGCATCTAATCCAGGACAGACAGACAAAACCAACGTAGAAACTCGTACACAAGTGGATCGGTTCAAGTTGCCACACTAGCTAAAACGCTTGTCCCCTCGGAGTCCTACCATATGAGAGGGGTCTGTGGGATAGCGGCAAAACAAAAAGCAATTACCCTTGTAATGTAAATTGCTACACCATGATGGGGGTTCGAGGGAGAAATGGTACTGCTGCTGGTTGGATAGGATGTGCCACTAGTAAGCTGTTTCCCGACGGTTACCACCAGCGCCACCCTGACGCCATCTTCCCTATGAGAAGGAGAGGTTAGCGAACATCAGCCTCCAAAGTAGAATATTCTTCCCTGTCTCTTAGTCTTCCGGTGCCGGCGGTATGGGTTTTCTCTATCCGGTGTTAAAACAAACAAGTCTGGAAACAACAGTCTTTAAAAGGCTGTGCATGACAGGTCTCAAGCAGATGTCCCACTAACTATTCGGCTACACGAATCTTTTTACCTTCCAGATACATTAAGAAGAAACAGCCTTTCACAGTCTGGGTAGCCAGGAAGAGTTGACCTCCTGCAAGCTTCTAATAATATGCATAACGAAATCAGACAATTCCTACAGGAAGTCAATAATTTAGGGGTAAGGTATCTGGTTACATCACTAGGGACATCAGACACGTCTTGCTGACGAATGATAACCAGCATGTTACCTAGTTTTAAGGCTTCCTGTAGAGTGCCTACAATCAACTAACAAAAACACAAATCCTACAACCCGAAGATTTAAGTCGTATGTAACATACATATACCACATAAATACAGTTCACCATAATTAAGAATCGAAGTATTTAAAATAAAAGTAACTGATATTTGAGGCAATAACACAGAATTTTATAAGTTCTGGTAAAACACTAGGAAAAATGGGACGACACGAGAAGAAATCTCTAAATGGCATGAACTACAGAATCCAGTGATAACTGTGCAGCAATAGACAGTCATTTCATCATAGATCGTAACTCTTTAGTACTGCACCACTGTAACCTCGCACCGGATAGAGTATAGGATGTTACGTTCTTATGATGAACACTTTGTCAATCAACCCGTATTCAACGATTCTACAGTCGCTATTTTCTAACTCTGAAACATACAAAACTCTCGACTGAACAATAATTCAATGTTCATTAATGAAAGATATCGAGGACTTCCAAAACTTTTGATGAACACCTGTTACCCGTTGGACACACTAAGTCAGTAGTAAGGACGAATGTTTATCAATGAATCGAATAATAACTGAGAAATATAGCAAAAATCGGCCAAATTGAAAATATGTAAGTAGTTGAAATCCCGCTCGTCGGGTGAATAGTGATGAGCTTTCAACAAGAAGTGATAGGTTTTGGACTCGATCTTTCAATATGAACCTTGGGTGCATACACATCTGAAAACTATGAAATCAGCATTAAAGAGCTGGTTTACATTAAGTAACTAGACAATATCAGTTCTTGATAACAACTATTATCAAATCTATCAATTCGACCAAAACCTTTGAAGTGAATACAAAATCACTTAGCAACAAAATTAAAACCTCATTAACAGGCAAAAAACAAGTGAACACCACAACCAATCACATGTGCTTACTTCGATCAGAGGACAATTTACATAGTAAAAAATTCCGTGCAATAAACAACATGTGCTCTTGTATGTATGTCAAACTGTTCACCTGATTAAATTCTTAGTGAGTAGTTACATAATGCAGCAGGATAGTATTACACTAAATACATAGGCACTCCACTTGTCATCTAGTATACAAGTCACCAATCAAACAGTGAAAAAGATTTCCAGGAAATCGGTATGCACATAAGACGAATACTTACCAGTTGAATTGTTTGTGACTCAAACAAGGATTTAAGAAATGTTTCTAGGCCAGGACATGACTGACAGGTAATTAAAGCGTCTAAATCCACTTCTGGATCAGAATGTTCTTGAATTATACACTCTGTATAACAACCTGTGTGCAAATGAAATAATATAAAGAGATAAGGAGAGAAATAAGTTGGCTATTAAGGCTTTTAACAACGCGCTTGGGAATATTTGCAAATTAAGGAAACATTCGCATGCCAAAATGGGTAAGACTAGAAAATTGATTGGATGGAACAATGAAAAATTAGGGGAGGGGGGCAGTTTACACAACTGAAATAGGTATTTCGGTCTGAATTCGCTTGAATTCAATGACAACCTATTTATAAAGAACATTACAGAAGTTGGAAAGAAGAAAACAGAAGTGGTCAATAACTTAGTCGACTTCTGCTCTCTCATTTTCGCTGAATCTGAATACATGGATCCCATACACATATGAGCACTTTCTCAATACCAGTAATCTATAGCAACACCAATACGGGTATGCAGTCCAATAGATCAGCTCATCTTTAGCAAAACAAAACAAGACGTGTTATCATAATACTCATTCAATGCTGACAATGTACACAAACCACTTTGAAGTGGCAGTAGTGGTAGTATTCTCTTCGTAACAACCATGTTTAACAAGTCATGCACTCAAAGAGAATCTGACTGACAGCCATTTCGAATATTTTACGCTCCAAGAGTATTTCTATTTCACATCCGGAAATGATTAGCCTGCATTGTATTGACATATATTAGATTTAAGCATCTCTTACAGTATTTTCTAGCAATGGTATATCATCATATAAGGTACAGGTAAAGGAAAGAGCCAAAGTGACAAGAATAAACAAATTCTATTGACACTTATTCAAAAGAAAGGTTAGTCAGAGGATGATTTCAAAATCATCGTTCAGAATATGTCTTGAGAAGATGACAGGCTTTTTAACTCCTTACTTCTCACATTTAAATCTCCAATTGAATCGTTTACAGGTAACTTCGTTGCCAGCTTCTTTCGAAGTTATATATGTTAAAATGGAAAATAAATTGTGACAACTGCAATGAACAATGAATCGAGAAAGTGTGGTCATTGTCTCTGTCCTCCAATACATGAAGGACTTACTGGTATTCAAATATTGCAATCTCAGCACTACATACAGACAATTGAGGAAATGCATTCGACTGAAAATAAGTGAAAATTTTACTAAGTGGAGAAATAAACCATAAAGAAACTCCTAAAGCCTTGTCACTAAGGTTAGTCTGGAAAAAAAAAGACACATCGAAACAGACTCAATCAATCAAACAATGAGATAAACCAAAAACAACTGCACGATCAAAGATCATGGCAAGGGAAACAACCAATCACATTCCAAGTTATTAAGACACTAATCCGTCCAGTTGTGGAAAAATTCTAAAACCTAACAACCTCTCGAAACTTCTGCTAATACTTTTGTCTGGAATGATAATGAATACTTTATGTCAAGTTGTTATTCATCGAAGACTGACATCAGCTGGAGGAACAAAGGAAACCTGGGAGCACTGGACAGCTGTTTCGTCCTAGTATGGGACTCCTCAGCAGTGCGCAACAACAACTTGAAATATTTCCAAATCTCCACAACCCCCTCAAAATTTAATTGAACCAGTGCTCGTAGGTGACTAGCTTCGAGAAGTATTCCCGAAGTTCCAATGACAAGTCGTGACCGGTGGAGTCAAAGCCTGATGGCCGTGAGGACAAATACTCAACGATGACATTGGGTGGCGGTTTGCGCTATATCGTGAGCTAACAGAAGTTGGAAATATGGAGCATTGGATTCTGACCCAGTGGCTCAATGGTAACGCGCTGGTCGCGGAACCTGAAGGTCGCGGGTTCGATCCCTGCTGGTGGGAACGTGGGTGCGCACTGCTGAGGAGTCCCATACTAGGACGAAACAGCTGTCCAGTGCTCCCAGGTTTCCTTTGTTCCTCCAACTGATGTCAGTCTTCGATGAATAAGAACTTGGAATATTTCCAAATCTCCACAACCCCCTCAAAATTGAATACTTTATGATTAAACCAGTTATTTCAGAGAACAGAAAGATACTACCAAAATTTTATACGGAAGCATTGCATAATATTGGAAGAATGCTATCCCAACCTCTTTATGACAGTTGACTCTTTGTATGAAAGTAGTTCAATCACGATATATTGAGACTACATTCAAAAACAAACTATCTAAATGGCAATCACAGTGAATAAGCATGAACTCTGTCAGTTACCAACCTATTTTCACAGTTCCGGGTAATAAGGGGTATAACCGGTGACCTTTTTATGTTATGCGATATCATAAAAGTTGAAGCAGAACTATATACCCCTAATTTTGTACAGCGTTTGCCTGCTGTTTCGCCTATAACCTTAAAACTGCTTACATGGCAGTTTTCACATGGTTACTAATTCTTCTCCCCCTTTGCTCTCAAGGCTGAACTCTCATTGGTTGTTAACTATATGTGGATTTGGTGTTGTCAAGGTCAACTGACTGTTATCGAGACAGTAAAAAGCTTTCTGTCAACCGTCTGTCTTTTCTTCTTGTCTTCGTGTGTTGGTTGTATTGTTGTTGTGGTGGTTGAAGTTCTGATTTGCGTCAGAGTCGATTCGTTTGCTCGATAGGTTCGTAGTCTGCTAGGCTCACATTGTTCGTAGTTTTAGGTCGTACTACCGGTCATAGCAAGTAAATTATCCTCCGTTAATGATTATTTGAAAATCTACTATTGGAAAGATTTTCTCCGCTAATACATCCTGAATTTTTCTCATTTTCTAGGAGATAGTCAAACCAGACTGCTAAGTCACTAGCTTTAGATAAGAGACCTTGATATTCCTCGCACCAAAAAGCAGCTCTCAAAAGGCTACATAATTCAGAATCATTGTTGATATTGAGTCACTTGTTGCTTTTTGATTATCTTACCATAATAAACACAAGACTAAATACTTCGGATAACTTTTAAAAGCATAATCATTCCCAACGAGCCGCAAACAAGACGAAAGGCATCTCCAGGAATCCATTCCTAGCCACTATCTATCATTAATGCCAACACTGAAAATAGAGTTAATATCAAGGTATCCGCATAAAAGCCCATACGACAATAGTAGCTGGTCAATTCGGTCTAATCAATTCAGAAGGTTTACAAGCTATGATTTCCAAAAACCATATTGACTTCCTTCCAAGAAATTTGAATCGTTCGACTCTTTTAAATTATCAAAGGTGACAACATTAAGGGCAATGTACTATCTGTTTTTAGCAGTGCTCACTTGGTTCTTTGTAGTGCTCATCATGCATACTTTATTCTTGATAAAAAATAAGTTCACTTTTTGTGGATGCCTCATTCCATTGATTTTTCAAATCAACTACGTATTGTATTATTACTGTCAGAGAATTATAAAGGAAGTATAATAGCGAACCCCATAGCGTAAAGCTGAAGACAAAAGACACAGAAACTATTTATATGCGTCGTTTTGATATTTAAGGTTGTTCAATGCATTAGAGGAGTTAATCAGAAGCTGAAAGCTCCCAACCCGGCAAGGCAGAGAAATACACGATACATATTACTTCCTATTACACTTACCAATTTATATGCATTTGTAAGGACAGAACAGATAGGAGAATATATATATACGTTTTCAGTACTTGGTGAGTTTATGTGAAATAGTACACAGAGATATGGCTTTATTTACTAGACGACGCTTCAAGCACAATTTATTGCTCATGATGGTACATGGTACATGGAAATAGAGTCCATCACAGTGTCGATATTCTATGCTTAAACCTAAATGTCTTGCAGAACAGATCCCAAGGAAGTTGAAGCAAAAAGGACCCAACGGTGTTAATATTTCAATAGTACACTAGATACTTGATACAAGACGTAATATGGACGCTGAAAATGAATTCAAAATAATTATTTAACGATGTACTTCCATACTTCCTCCCTTAATTTCGGTCACTGCAATCAGGAACTAAACAGCTGACCTTTAAATTCAGAGAAAAAAAATCAATAGTTAACCCTTGATTACCTTTGTTACATCATGCTGCAGAATAGTTAAGATACTCTAGAGCTGACAGCTTCATTAATTGTAAGGCCACATGAATAGCCTTTTCACCTGCTCTGTGCCACAACCATTCTCTCCGATTAATTTTGGTTTTACAATCCAAGGTTTTGAGGGAGTGATTGATTTTAAGATAGCATTCATCATGGAGTGACATAAGTCAAAGAACCATTGAGAACCTTGATCAGCTTTTTTCCTTGTTCCCGCACGACTCCGCAACGGGATCGAACCCACCACGGCCAAATATTGTGGCGAGTACGCTAGTAATTCAACTACTCAGTTGAAATTCAATGATCCAGTTACTGAAATGTGATTAATACTATCTTGGAATTTTGCTCTTTCTTCAATACCATCTAGTCCCCCAATTTTCTAGCAAGTTGAACGAACGCAGCTGATGAGAATGTAACAAGACATGCTGGATCTATTGTGTGCTGACATTCTACTCGTTCTTGCTTGATTCAATTTATTGAAGTGAGCAGGTGGTTTGAAACTATCACTTAGTTAACATTTCTTCTGACTACATATAGCGAAAGAAACTCTAGATTGTCCAGCAGGTACTGGGCTCGAAGCCGACTTCATAATCTTTGGTCTTGTAAACTGGGTGGTATCTTATGCCTCATACAATAAATATGGTTCACAGTCTGTTTACATAAATACATATAACTGGTTGAGTTACACTACAATATTGTAATTATGATCACTGATATTAAAGATAATAGATTTTTGAGTAATGTAACAAACTAGTACCCCGATAACTGAGTTTACTGTGGTCCTTAGCCTGTTTATTGAAGATCTACGCTAATACTGACATAGAATGACAACAAAGAAATGGTTGATATCAAAAATTGACAAAGGTTTCACAAACAGGCGGAACTGGTTGAAAATCGAATCTGGCAATGCAAAGGATAACGGCTTCGTAGTACGCTCTCGGAGTACTGAGGACAATCGTTATAGTCATGAACGTGCGATTTCACAAAAGCTAAAGATGAAATGGAACTAAGACTACCAACTCACTCAGTTCTACTGTCTATTCGGATGACACTGAAAAATGATGAGCAGAACGCCTTCAAAAAGTGTTGCTCCTTGTATTATCACGTCGTTGAGTGGACTGAATTGATCGGTCTCTGTTGGCATATGGGCTGTGTGGATAACTCGATATTGCCCGTTTTAAAGTCACATTTCAATGATGAACAGTGGCTAGCAGTGGAATCAAAGACGCACGTTTCATCCTATTCCGGACTCGTCAGCTGGATGCATCTGCCTCTCTATGAACATTGGAAATCTGAGAGGACTGAACAGCTGTTTCGTTCTAGTATGGAACTATTTAGCAGCACGCACCCATGACCTTGTCAGGTATCGAACTCGCAACCTTCAAGTTTCGTGGCCAGCACGTTAGCACTTAGCCACTGGGTCAAATTCTAATGGTCCATATTTCCAACTTCTGTCAGTTCACCACATGGCACCCCCATCACCCAACGTCATCGTTGAGTATTTGTCCTCACGGCCACCAGGTTTGCCCCACTGGTCATGACTTCTCATTGAAACTTCAAGAATCACCTCTCGAAGCTTGTCAACAATGAGCACTAGTTCAATTGAATTTGAAGTTTGTAGGAGCTCAATAGTAACGTGCTGGCCACGGATCCTGAAGGTCGCGAATTCGATCTGTGACAAGGTTATGGGTGCGACCTGTTGAGGAGTTTCATACTAGGACGAAACAGCTGCCCAGTGCCCCCAAGTTCCCAATGTTTTTCCAACTGATATAAGTCCATGATGAATATCAACTAGAAAAATCACTAAATCCCCACAAACCTTAAATTCAAAACATAAAAGCGCCAGCTGTAGGTGAAAGCAGCTGTGTGAAACCTTTGGAAGTAAATACACTTGATAGAGAATACAGAAGGATACGTTGTTTACAGTAGGGAAAGATAGAAGAAAAGCGAAAAGAGAAGCAAAACAATGATAAAAATCTAAACAATCAAACACATAAATATGTACTCATACATCCAGTCTCTCATGTACTCCATACACACAACAAAATCTTTTCTACATCACGTGTGTAAGGTAAATAAATTGAGTCGTAGTCGACAAAACTTAGAGAAAAATGAAAAGAATACATAAAAAGTCAATAAGTTCGATAATCAATAAATCAATAATAAAATTCAACATATGTGGGTTTCAATTAAAATCAATAAAAATCGTAAAAGTATTCATTTCATAAAAGTTAGTGAAAAGTAACGGTAATTATATTATGCAACGAATATATATATATATATATATATATATATATATATATATATATATATATATACATATATATATAGGTAGAGTTTTTTGTGAATCGTTTAACCTAGAAATACTGTGATTATATAAGCTAAAGGAATGTACTTTCATGATCAAGAATTTTACAAATAAGAATGAACTTTAAATTAAAACTATATGTGAAAATCAGTGATCATTTATAATTCTGATAGAAGAGATTGTGAATAACATATATAGTGTTGGTAAGACACCTCATATATTCACTAGATGATAATGCAGAAACACAAACTATTTAACTATTAATGAATGAGTACTTGCCATTTGAGGAGTGACTTTAAAGGCCATCTTAACAACAGATAAAATAACCAATCAAATTGCTGTATTTTACGAAAATCTATCCTTCCAGAGAAAGGGGGATAACCAAATTCGTTATTTCGGTTGTTACTACGTTGGTCTTTAAAGTCAGTCGTGTTTGAGCCTCCAACCCCCTCCGCTCTAGTTCTAGTTAACAGGGCAGGAGCCATCTATGGCTTAATGATCTCATAAACTTATTCAATAATTCGATAGAAAAAAGCGAATGAGTATTTAAGAGAAACCATGAATAGGAATAAAAATTGATGATATTCAGAATGAAAGATCATGATACAAAAACTCAATTTGGGAAAAGTAAAAATGAGCTAAAATGTTGAAAAATTGGGGAAATACTCTTGCGTTTGCAATATACAATTAACTCCTTGTGTAAGTATACCATGCAACAGTTTGTTCCATATTTCTATATGGCTGTGAAATGTAATCCTTTAAAGTAGATGTGTGAAAGCTATGCGGTTTCGAATAATAAGGTTGACTAGGTATTCCCCAAGTTTCGTGAGAACACAGGTTGAACTTATGGTTTGCAGAGAGGATGATAAGCCAGACGATAGATATTGTGAGGTTTCATAAACTGAAATAGTTGAGATATACTGTCAAGCCTTTTCAGTAGCCGTGGCAACAATCATGAAAGACACCGGCGCTTGGTCGTAGCTGTATAGAGAAGTGCAGATTTATTCAGTGAGGTAGGTAGCCAAGGTAACTTAAATCATCAATTCGTGAATACGCCTAGAAATCTAAGTGACCAGTCTCAATCAGGAAAACACATGGCTTAGCTTCAATGAATAATATTGTTGTATATCGACTTAAATTTCTTCAGTTTCTCTTACCCATTTTCTTATTTTCACTTTTAATGAGATCATTTTGATTTATGATTCATTGGTCGTTGTCATGGCGATACAAAGTGCGGTAATTCCAACTGAATACAAATGTTGGAAACTGAGATATAACCACACTGAAAGTGACTCATCATTGTTTGGCCTAACGTCTGTAAAGGGCAATATAATACCTTTGGTAAGGAACTCATTACAGAATATGATAAATTCCCCTCACTTAAACTAAATTGTGGATATATTTTGTGCATTTCAATGTAATAAAAGTAAAAAAAAGAAAAAACTATCCACTGCTCTCAGGTTTTCAATGGTTCCCTAACTGGTTTCAGTCTGTGATGATTCCTACCTTAAAAATAATGAGAACCGACAGAAATTTTCATCATGATGGAGTAGCCTTATACAATGAGTGAATCAATGTCGATCGAAAGTAAGATAATAATGTCTCCACGGTGTTAACTGTGAATGAACACACTTGCCTATATTGATAAAGGAGCTAACTTTATGGAAACCCTGCAAATCTACTTAATTCCATAAGAGCTGTGGTTTATTGGATTATAGAGATGACATTCAACCAATGGGTGACTGGTTCTATCCCTACCGAGGTTTCAGCAGCCAGGTAGTATCACCAGACTTCACACACTAAATGTAGCTCATTGTCTACTGCATGAATGTGCACAAGGTTACTGAGCACATTTCGATTTCGAATTTCAGAGGAATATTTCCAATGAAGCGTAAAGGTCAATGTGTAAATCTTTCATTAAAATTTGGCGTTGACTGCACTAAACAGTATTTTTTCCCGAAGAACAACTTACTACCAAGTTTATTGTTGATAATAAATGCTGAACAAAGAAAAAAACATTTTTCAGTAAATAGAAACAAAGAAAATTTGCACTCACCTAAAAGATTCACAATCATTTCAAAAAATGGATGAGTCAACTTCTCGAAACAATTCAAAATCTCTCCAGTGACTTCTTTCTTTGAATTCATTGACACATTTAACTGTCGTTGAACTTCTTTTAATTGGTGATGCAGGAAACTGAACTGTAATAAAACAAAGTTAATAAAAAATTATAACTCACTTTTTAATTTAATGAATGTGTTAAGTAATTTGTAGTAGTAACCAGACATAATAGAGTTGTAAGAATCATATGGAGAAATATGCAGAAAAGATTAGAAACTGTGTATACTTTAGAGGGGGAAAAAAGAAGCAGATGCGCCAAGAAAAGGTAAGAAGCAATGGAGTATACTGTCTTTTAAAACAATTCGCTATGATTGCACGCGATTCACCAATTTCAGTCAATAAAACAAAATATCAGCAATCCTTGTACGTGCGAAATGTGTGCCGACAGGCATTCAGTAGTAAATGTTCTAAAATCAGTCACCAGGCTAAAATACACTTATACAAGGTGATGATTGAAGGTGAGTTGAAAATTTGAACAGCTGCTGGGTTCGAACCAGAGACCACCAACTTTCCTGCCCCATGCTCTATCAACTTACCTACCAGATCCGACTGCTGACCACATTTTTATTTCACTTCAATCACCATGTGAATTCGTGATGCCTTACTACAATGGCTATCTCGGATAGTCAAGTTGATAATCAATATGATGCTCCCCTACATCTCTAATTCAGTTAGATCTGGATTGGGATGAGAAGTCCTGACTAGGCAGGCAGTGTGAATACGATCAAATGGTAGTAACATGTCACGAATTCACATGGTGATTGGGTCAAACCCATGTTGATTGAAGTGAAATAAAAATGTGGTTAGCAGTTGTACCTGGTAGGTGAGTTGGTAGAGCATCGTGCCGGAAACCTGGCGATCTCTGGTTCGAATCCAGCAGTGGTCCGAATTTGCATTTCACCTTCAATCATCACCCAGTATAAATACTTGTATACCAGACTACGGCAGATAGTCGTATGATAAAACAATAGATTTATTCTCACAGACATTCCAGTCTTTCAAGCGCGTGTAAGTTTATTATTCATGCAATAAGGTAACGCGAATCATTTCTTATGGTATATTATTGTCAACCAACCATGATCGAGTAGTATTAAAGTGCTAATTAATCACCAAATTTAGGGCATAATTGTAAGTGAATCGCAACTTAGTATTTATCTCGGAATGACATCAGTTGGCGAACCATCGAAAACCTGAGAGTAATGGATGGCTGTTTTCTCTTCCCCAGTGGTGCGCAACCGCAACCCCACTTTACCAGGGGTCGAACCCAGGACCTTTGGATTTCGTGGCTAGCGCGTTTCTGTTCGGCCACTGGGTCGGAATCCAGAGCTCCACATTTTCCTACTTCTGTCAGTTTGCAATATACCGCGATCTCAATCCCATGCCACTGGTGAACACCTGTTCTCACGTTCGATTTAGATTGCCATACTGACCACGACCTCCCATCAAAATTTCGGGAATCTCATGGCAAGCACTGGAAAGTAACTTCAGTTTCGCGGTGAATTTTTTACACAAATGAAGACAATGAGAATTTTTAAATGCTTCTAGACCAAAAACAACATCACAAGAGAACAAAATGAGATGATTAATGCGATAATATATATATATATATATATATATATATATATATATATATATATATATATATATATAGGTCAGACCGAATTATGGCCTCACTTCATTCAATCATTTGGGATGTAGTGTGTAGATTGCCCGGCCTGGGTAGTCGAGACGACATTGTTTAGTTGTTAGAAACTCTAAGCTATATAGCCTGGACTCTTTCATACTGGTGAACATATATACGCTCATTATCATCTTCAAGGTCATGAATATTTTTATTGGCCGTAATCAATGTATTCTCTATTTTCTCACGGACTTTTGTGATTCATTTTCTATGCATTTATTTTTCCCATGCTGCTGTGAAGCGTGGGAACGTGCAGCAATTTACTTTTGTGCAATAATCTATGTTGATCTGTCTTGTTTGCTTTTTATGGACACTGTCAGCATGACATGTTTGAATTTACTGGTTGCGCAAGTAGGTGAACATGACTCACTAACATATCACATGATTTGACGTTGAGTAGCAACGTCCTTCTCAATGGAGCTATATGCTCTACATGAAGATGAAGGGAGGAAAACAACTTGGATGTTGAAGTACCGAATCGCTTCTTCACTCTTCGATTTACATTCGGTGACGTATAACCAAGAGAGTTTTCGTAAAGTTCATCATCTGTAAACTATTTTATGTCCAGTCAATAGAGGAGACTCTTGAAATCAATAGCCAATAGTTTAAACCTATTCAAAGGGTATGCAGAAATGGTACTTTTATTACTTGTCACTTGAATCATTTTCTATACGCGTTACATAGTTGGTGCTCGGTTTTGAAACGTACTGTTAAAGTGGAAGACGAACTAAAATGTTTCTTGTTTTTGGTCTGGAAATGAAAGAGAAGAGTGACCAGACACTCAGGAGATCTATCTACAAGAAAGGTCTATGTGGTATGCCGGAATGAAACTCTTCTACAGTAAGTGTTAGAAGCTTGCAAGAGGAATTTAAATGTATCTTTTGCCATTCACATCAAAATTTAAAACTTTAATGATGCAAAACAAATCCTAATTGAAAGTGAGTGTAGCGAATTTTCATAGCAAAAACCTATATTCTTAACCTTGCAGACAAATCTTCATCCCTTTACCAACAATATTCTACATGAATCTAGACTTCAAAGACGATTAAACTGCAGAACGTCTACAGAAAATTATGAGACACTTTTAACCAATTTCTGCCATCAATATTGGGATCAGTATCCCAATGTCATCAAATATTCTCCAACAACTCGATGGAAATGCTGTTACATCAAATCGATTCTGTTACATATGTCAACTCACCTGCTCTTGTGCAGTATGATATGTGGGTTCAACATGGTTTATCAAATCGTTGTAAATAGATAACAGTAGGGCTATAAACATTGTCGCAACAGGGAGTCCTAATTCAAGATAAATTACAAAGTAGGCGTAAATCTTCCGAAATCTGCACGTCTCTGTATTCAGTGCATCCCTAAAGCTCTTGCCATTCACAAAAGACGATCGTTAAATGTGGACAAAAGAGAAACTTGTTAAATTCCATCTCCTTTCAGTTTGAAACCAACCTCTTTCTTTTAATTTGTTAACTGCATAAGTAACCTATACTGAGTGATGATTGAAGGTGAAATGAAATCTTGGACCGCAGCCGGAAACCTGCTGGTTCGAATCTGATCGCAGTCCAAATTTTCATTTCACCTTCAACCATCACTAAGTATGAATACTAGCCTGCCAAACTATGGCTGTCTCAGTCAAATGATAAGTAGCAAGTTTACTACCACTGCTATGTTATCTGATCACATTTCACCTTCTAAACAAATTTGTTGCTTTAAGCAACCTCTTATCAGAACTTAGTGATGGTTGTTCAGTTACTGTCCGATGAACAATAATCTTCATGATCAAAATGAAATATTGACTAGTGATTATTACGTAACATGAAAAATTACTGTCACTACCAAAAAAATGGTAGAAGTTCACTAGAAACATTTTATATAGCTACAACTGTACAGTTAGGCGAATCAAATTGGCGAAAAGAGACTCTCTGCTGAACTTCAAGTTCGACTCTGATGACATACCCAAGAAAATGCAGGACTGTGCAAAAATGTGAATTGACTCAAATTCTTATAATTTCTAGCAACATAGAAAGAAAACTGAGAGAAAATGAGAATAAATAATCCGTAAACTAAAAAGGATTCAAGTCATGATATTTCACTGTCAGAAAAAATGTAGTTAACTGCAAGTTTGTACTGAAGATATACAAAATGTACTGATATAACCTTGTGTCCGCCTAGGTTAGTCATCAGAACTGTAGCTCATTGGTCTACTTTTTTAACTTTCAACCAATGTCACACGTTCAAATAGCTCTCCATCAATCAGGGTTTCAGCAGATAACTAGTATCATCATTCTCCACAGGATGTTGATCGCCTAATAGCATAAACTTGCATATGCATGGTAAGCTGTATTAGATACCATTACCAAAGGTGAGCCACTTACAAGAAGATTCACTTTTGATAATAAACACATCAGATTATCCTACGTATCAAGCAGTTATTAATAAATTGAATAGAAATGCACTCAGGAAGAGAGCCACACCTATTGTGTGAGGACTAATGATACTAACTAGCTGCCCAAAACTTCGGTAGGTGACTTGGGGTTCGAACCCGCGACCAACTGATTGAAAGCCACCTCCCTGAACCAGTAAGCCATACGTCCACTACTAATAATACATACAGAACTCAGATAGTGTTATTAAAGATAAAGATATAGTTAAAATATCCAGACTACGAATTATTTCAATGCCGATTTGTGAAAAAGAGACTGATGATGTTTTTTCGTTGGATAGTTGAGGCTAAGTAGTGGGAACTTTAGGAAATTGTTTCAGTGGCAAGAATATTTTTGAATGTGGAGAAATTCATAGCTTCTTTATCTGCACCTTCGCACCAATGGGTCATGGGGTTTCAGGCAGCTATGCAGCGTCATTAGCCCTCAGACAATAAGTTTGATTCATTGCCTAATGCGCGAACGTGTACATAATCACCGAGTGTGTTTCAATTTATTTTTTTGACATAGTTTATTGTTATTACCGATGCTTTTTAAAGTGTGACACTGAAAATATAGATATAGCCTCCGCTGTTTCAACATGATATGATAAAAACAACAGTTCCCCTACAATAAATAATGAAATATGAGTGTAACAACTGACTGGCCCTTAGATTCGAATGTAGGAGAACAAACAGTTGATGAAAACCTTAGATAACGGATTCACAGCAAGACATGATACGCTAACTACAGTAGAATGAATTTCACCGACTCCTCGAACAAATAAAAGCATATTATAACAGTGTAGTAGTATGACTACTTGAATGTAACTCAGAAAACAGGACAGTTGATAAAAGACAGAAAAAGTATACTAGGACGTTCAGATGGAACTATGCTAATAGGATCAACTTTGGATCATATTTTGAACTACAAGTCCCAGTGATGTTGAGACCTTATCCTAAACTTAAATTATATAACCATTTGATAGAAACTAACAATCAATGGACTTCATGATTTGATGTCATGTTGGGCTAGATAACTGTTAAGCATTTGATTCCAACTTCATATAGAGGGTAAGGCATTGATAGACAAGAAACCTCCCATATCCTGTTTAGTTCTTCACATGTATACGTAATCAGGAATTGTAGGACCCCACAACAAAGAGAGAGAGAGAGAGAAAAAGCAGAAATTAAGTAAAGGATACTGGTAAACGTGTAATGTCGTTTACGTTTAATCGATTACTTCAAGGATTCTATCGAGAAAGTGACAGATACTTAACCCACTCACTACTTAGTCTAAAAAAGGGGGTTTTAACAGAGAAATACAACGCATTCACTGTCTATCCACCAAAAAGCTCATATAGATGATATCAACTGGCCGGTTAAAATTTATTGTTAGTAAGACCACTATCTGTGAGACATGCTACTGAATGGTTGGCAAAAAAGTCTAGAGCCTGCTCAAAAAGTAACTAAGGCGAAAAATCCTAACAACTGCAAGAGTATTCCACCAATGACAAAATAATACGTGAGACATACACCCTTACAACAGAATAGAAAATCATAAAATGCAAGTGAACAGTCTGACTGTTCAGTCTACTAATCCTTCTGTTAATGAAAAAAACTACGGCAAAAACGACCAGTGATCAGACAGACAAATCAGCAAGGCAGTTTTTATTGTGGTAGGCAGGCTAAAGGCGTAGCCTTTTCTTATTGATTAAGGCAAACGGATAGATAAAATCAACGCAGAACCTCGCACACAAATGTATCAGGTCAACTCGTTCCATTTCACAGTAGCCTGCAAAGAACAAGTCGACAGAAAAACAGTGATATCAGAGTAGACAACGTTGTACGGGAGAATAAATACTGTGGAGATAAAGGTTAGTAAAGATGTCAAAGAGTTAATACAGTTGCGCTATTGTGACCAATTTTCAGTCATTACCAAGACTTCTCAACCACTGATTTATATTGTCCCAATGACCTCACTCAGGGATTTAATCGGCTGGTGCCACGTCTTAGTTCGGCCATCATGAACCGACTCCTCACTTAAACCAGCTTTCCCTAGCATCGTAAGTCGAGACAGGCAGTGGCTTGGCATGGGCAGTAAATGTCTAAGCCACTTCATTACTTAAAGTAATTGTATTACGACAAAATATTGACAAATTTCGGATTTTCTATGGTCTAGTGCTAGACAATATTGACGTGTTACTATTCTGTACGAAACTTAAAAGTATTCAAAGTCCCAAAAGTTAACTGAACTAACTAGTATCCTTTAAGACTATTCCCAATATGTCATAAAGAACAAAACAGGCTACTTTCTATCAAGTTAAGCTCTTAGACTAAGTGCCAATACAATTCATTTCATAAACGTTAAGAAAGCCAGATAATCATGCAAAATTCAGGACCTGACATAGATAAGTACCGCTTAAGGTTACTACATTTCAAATCGACACACTGTAGTGGGAGTTGACGAAGAAGACAGCAAGTTATATCTAATAATATCAGTAGTTATAGGAACTTTAAAACATGGAAGCAAATAAGAGAAACAAGGAAGCTTGGTAACATGATTTCCAAGGTTTTAATGTCAACATGGCGGTAAGTATGCATCTGCTTCTCTATGGTCGATTCCCTGATGTATCGCCTAGGTAAAAACGATGCGTACTGGGTACAAATCTCAATGGAAACAACACCACTCACGTAGGTGCAGACACATCAAACTGACGAATTCAAAACGGGACGAAACGTACGTCCTGGATCCCACTACTAGCTACAACCAGGTCAATTATGCTGTTTATACATTGGTTTAAACAATGTACATTATTCGGGTAATAGAACCTTGTTGTGATACTATGGTGTAGAATCAAAGGCATTCAATTAGTATAATCCACACTATATACTAAATAGTATCAAGACAACAAAAGCTCAAGTGTATGAAGAATAATATCAAAATGAAGTTAGACATGAGTTTACAGAATGCCTGATATAATTAATAGTAAATTGTAATAAAGAAATGTACTTGTACTTTTGCCATTCAGTCAGTAGAATATTAGTTATGTGATAAGCTTAGAGAAATTCAATAGCATAAATCTAATCATATAGAAACGTGATTGACACAATTTGAGACACACAACAAAGGTTGAATGAATTCCGTATAAATATAATTATGTCTCATAGATATAAAAATATCAAGTTCATAGTTGTTAGACATGTTCTGAAAGAATTTGAGCACCAAATCTCAAAGATAAATATAATCAATCAAATGTCTAGTCTACCTCTAATAGTTTTCATTTAATCAAATAGACAATAAATTCCACACCTTTCATTAAAAGTTAATTTGTTCTTGTTATGGGTTCGAGGCGCTAATGGTATATGTAAACATTCCGAAACGAATAAAATACGCGCGCTTAGCTGACAGCTAACTTGGTACGCAAGAGACACTGACAGCAACCCCGGGATGAATAGAAAGACCGAGGCTGGCAAATGGGAGAGTATTACTCCGAGAATATAATATAGTAACAATGAATCAATCCAAAAACACGTGAATAAGTACACATATGAAAAATGACCTTGTCCGCAATTGAAGAAATTTGTATAGTGAAGAGCAAAAGTTAACCAATCAGCAAATTACATTACAATGGGGGCAGAAATAGACTATTAGTCATACCGTAAAAATAATGTGGGAATGACACGTTAAAATGTTCGGATCGATAACAATGTTTTATACAAAACTGAGACATCACAACAGTTCTCTCCGTCAAAAGATTCTTAATCTAATAAATATCACTCATCAAAGTCCTTTTTGTCTATGACTTCGATTATTCACATTCATTTAGAGGAAGACAGTTGACTACTACTGTGAGTGCTGTCAATTGAGTACATTGTACCTCAAAGTAGATCGATCAATAATCACTATCAGTATCTAAAAAAGATAATCCTTTAAGCCTTTCTCATTTACAACCTCATTAGCTTCAGTCGCATCGGTTACCTAACAGTTTATCAACAGCATTTTCTACTTGATGGTTCCACTAGCCGCAAGCGATGTAATGCAGATAGATAATAGATTTAATCGATGAGAGTACAGAAATGTAAGGGATATTCATGCAAAGTATTAAATTATAAAGATTGGGCAACAAGGAGAATAAAATATATTATAATAAACGTATGTGTTAAGTGCATTATCTTATAAATAAACTTACTATTGCTTTTGGTGTGCCCAACTCAATATCGTTTTGATCATTTTGAAGCATATCAGAAGGTGGGTCATACACTGAAATTTGACCCATATCTAAATCCACTAAACGTGTTCCTGCACTTAAATATTGTTTCGCTTTCTGATTTCAAGATAAGAGGATAAAAGAATAAATAAACAGGAATTACTGACGTATAGAAATAGTAAAATCAAATCAGAATCCAAAAAGATAAACTGAATAATCACATTATATATGGTGAATATAAATTCCGATGAGAGGAGAGATGAAGCGAACTGTAATATCAATTAAGGTTTATTAAGGTATTTTTATTTTACGACTTACCTCTAAATTACAAATATGTATACCAGCAACAAATGGAACTGGACATCTAAACAAAATGGCTGGGGATAGTAACCGATTAAAATGCACTCAACTTACTCCAAAACACCAAGCACTTTATCAGGAATCAAAGGATAGAATGAATGAGCCCTAAAATATAGACAGAAAAATGGTTGAAGGGAATCATAAAACAACAACCAATAATGAACTAGATGGTTTGGAAAAACTTGGGCACCGAATTAATACTATTCATCGTATACGGTATATTTTTACTTGCGTAATCTCGGCATAGTATATTAGGACAAATGACAAAATGATTAAATATTTTTTTATTATTCCTCAACGTTTCGATTTTCCTAGGAAGATCCTTTACAAGAGTATGAATCTGACACTAAGGTTTGGCACAAGAGGTAACGTTTACGACCATCCAATTACATTGTGATATGGGAACAAAGATCAATATAATGTAGGTGAGTGAATTAGCGAATCAGGCAGACGAGTTTTATGAATTTTGTATTGATCTTCATGATAAGCAGTGGAATCCAGGATGAGCGTCTCATCCCATTAGGGACTCGTCAGCTGGATGTACCTGCACCCTAGTCAATGATGTTGTTCCCACTGAAACTCGAACCCAGTACGCATAGCTTCAAACAACAGAGCGTTCTCCACTAAGTCACTGGGCCTTGAGAACCACCTCCTGTTCAAAGGGTATCAGTTGTTGCTCTGATATTTCTAATTTTCTGTTGCTATACTTCTTTGAAGGAAATACCAGTAGAAGAAAAGATAGATAGGTATTCCAACCAATAAAAATACGCTCAAGAAGGTCAATAAGTTGTTCATGTGAAAACAGCTGAAAAGAGAAAAACGTGTATATGTGTGATATCTGAAACATGACTGTAGAAAAATAGACAAAAGGAATACGCTATGCAACGACACACACCTAAAGACTAATGACACCCTACCTGGCTGCCAAAACTTTGTTAAATGAAGTTGGATTTTAAATTGAAAACAAATAAGAACTCTACTTCGAAATGTGCGAGTCCAAACTGGTACACCTTCCAACTTCATAAGAAAAAAGAGAATAAATAATAGTAGTAGGATATTTATATGAAGAAGAAGAAGGAGAAGAATATACACAAATGGATAGGGAATAAATCAGCATACAATGATACGACCACTGACATTTAGAGAGGGATAGGTAGTAAATACACTTAGATAATTACGAAAGATTTTAGGCATATTCAAACAGTTAATGTGTGTACTTTTAAAAAGAAAGTAGTTTAATAGACGAAGAACAATTGGCTGAAAGATTACTGTAAACAACATAATGCATCAGAGTACAGAGTAGCGCATAAATAAATGAATGTTAGGATGAGCCAACAAAACTACACCTAGAGAATACCATGAAACAAGATAAACGACTTAAGAAGAAAACCCTAGACAATGCTATTTAGTATCTTGAAACTTCATTTCTCGACTCTTCATCACCAATGTGTAAACTTTAAATTCCCCCCATAGGACGCACTGACACTAACAGGCGGTTAAATTGATACGATGGATAAGACTAAATGCAGTTATCTTTCTTCCGTTTTATACATGAAGGACGTAAATATAAGTAATTAAACAGTAGAAAATTATTAGCATAAGTGTACAACTTAGACGCTGTGGTAGAATAAATTTCTATATAAAATTTGTTTATTTGATTTATAATACACGCTGATGATAGTGTCTATTTACTTGACGACGTTTCGACATCTGACTTTTAAAGTCCTGTTGCTTCTTATTATTTGTTTCTAGTGGTAGTAAAATTGTCCATATCTCTGGAATAGGAGTTGTACCATTCCTATTACACGAGTTGAGTGTTGGTTGATTCGATGAACAAAGATTCAGTAATCAATCTGTCTCTCTCTCCACCTAACTACATTGCTTTTTTCTAGACTATTGATCTTATTGGGATCTGTCATACTATATTTAGCTAAACTCCTATGTTCTGCTAGTTGAACTGAACCCGATCGGTTAGCATGACCTATGTACTTGACCCATTTTGGGTTGCTGGATAAAATGAAGAACAGACGGTTGTTTGGATACTACTGTCTACAGGAAACCGACACATTCTAACAGGTATCTAGGCCTCAGTTCATCTCAACCAAAGTCAGTTGAGGCGAATTTAGTCGAATATCTAAACGATAGAGCTAGGAAACTGACTGGTCAGTGTCGGGGTCAGTTAGACTAACTGAACGAAAGAATTTTGCTAAATATAGTCTGACAGTAGCCAATAAGATCAATAATCTAGAAAAAAACTTTGCTACTGCAATAGGATGAGGTAAAACCACTGTACTCAAATCCAATTTAATTAGGTGGAGAGAGAGAGAGTGATTAATGAATCTTTGTTCATCGAATCAACCAACACCTAACACATGTAATAGGAATGGTGCAACTTCTATACCAGAGATATGGACAATTTATCTAGCACTAGAAACAAAGAATAAGAGGTGACAGGATAACAAGAATCAGATGTCGAAAGTGGTGTGATTGCATTGATATGATTATGAGTAATAATTTATGCTCGAAAGGTCACTGTATTACTGTAAAAGAGGAAATTATACAAATCAGTGAATAAGTACTGATTCTTATACAAGGCCTTAGAATATGCTTCTTTTGTGAAGGCAACTATTCAAAACAAGGGATAAAATTTTGTTAAATATATTGAAGTGAAATAAAAATCTGATCAGCAGTCGGGTTTCGTAGCTCAATTGGTAGAGAACCAAGACGGAAAACCAGTGGTTGCTGGTTCGAATCCGACTATGGTTCAAATTTTCATTTCACCTTCAATCATCATCCAGTATAAATATATTAGAGAATAAAGCACATAACTAAGTGTATTAGAGTGGACCATCTGAACCACTAACCCAAACAACTGAATTACATGCTACAATGAGAAATAGAATATGTCTCTCTGCATTCAGTTGAGTCGATAAGCTACTAAAAGACAGTACGCGTACAACTATGTGCGTAAAGCTTTTCTACACGGAAAAGGAGTACACTAACATTAGTTTCCTGAGTCGTGTATCATTGTACAGTACATGCATTCACAGCAACCTTGTCAATATTCGTGCAGTAGTCGATAACCATAACTATTGTGTGCCGACTAATGACACCACTACCTGGATGCCCAAACCTCAAGTAGGTGGAGCAGTGCTCGAACCCGTGACCAATTGGGTAAGAGCTATCTCACTAAACCAATGGAGCCACTGATCACTATGAATGATTTCCAACTACTAGTGTCAATCGGTGGTGAAAATCATGCAGAAAAACTTTGTAACTGAACAAAAATGAGTTCAGATGCATGCAGTGATCAGTCTATCCAAACACCTAACCATTAACACATACATTATACAGTCACTGAGTAGAAATATACCAAGTGTTGTGTGACTTTTCAAAGTATTCACCGGAACTTTATAGGTAGACATTATACAATTTGATGCTAGGATCCAGATTTATTTGAAAGATTAATGCAATCCATTACCGATACTGCCAATAAAATAGAACTAACGAGCAAATCACATGAATAGTATATGATCTTATTTAAAATATATAAGTTAGTCAACCAGAGTTCAAATTAATCCGATTGAAAAGGAATGATTTTCTCTAAACAGTAAGGGGGCGCTGAACCACAATTCTTTCTCAGTCATTCTTACAGATGAAGAACACAGAGAACAATCATCTACCATTGTTCATGAATGATAAAGACTACCAGTAATAATGATGTAGAATAATTAGTTAGTCAAGTGAAATTGTACATTGCACTTTGTTTCTGTGGATCTACTTATAGTTATTTATACAGGTGAAATGAAAATTTGGACCACTGCTGGATTCGAACCAGAGAACACCAGGTTTCCGGCACGATGCTCTACCAACTCACCTAGCAGGGTCCAACTGCTAATCACATTTTTGTTTCACTCCAATCAACATGGGTTTTACTCAACCACCATGTGAATTCGTGACACGTTACTACCACTTGATCGTATTCACACTGGCTGCCTAGTCAGGACTTCTCATCCCAATCCAGATCTAACTAAATTAGAGAGGTAGGGGAGTATCATATTGATTATCAACTTGACTATCCGAGATGGCCGTTGTAGTAAGGCGTCAAGAATTCACATGGTGGTTGGGCAAAATCCATGGTGATTGAAGTGAAACAAAAATGTGGTCAGCAGTTGGACCTGGTAGGTAAGTTGATAGAGCATGGGGCAGGAAAGTTGGTGGTCTCTGGTTCGAACCCAGCAGCTGTTCAAATTTTCAACTCACCTTCAATTATCACTCTGTATCAATAATAATCTGCCGACCCACGGCTTTCTCAGATAGTCAAAATGACTATAATTATTTATTAGAAAAGAAACTAGTTTTACAAAACATTGTACTTGTTCATTCAATCAGTCAGTTGAAAAACAAAAATGTACCAAAGAACTAGAGTGCTGAAAAATAACAACTGTGTATGTGTACACTAACCAATCAACCAATCAATCAAAAAGTCAAATTCTTCGATTCATAACCCACTACATACATGCTGGAAAGATAGAAAAATTACTAGTGTCAATATTATTTAGCATTGCACATATACTTCACAAAAAAAAGTTATGAACGAGCAACACTGTAAACCACCAAATAAGTATTTGTGTTTCTGTTGTTTTTACCACTAAGACATAAATGAAGTGGAAGAAAACGAAGTTCACTTGTAATAGTTAGCGGTCAAAAACCGAGCGGAATTCATTTTACAAATATCATCTCTGTAGTGATAACCTCTTTAAGAAAGAATATTTTTTCGTAAGAAAAACGTGATCAAAACGATCAGAAAGATCAACATCAAATCATCCAGACCAACATAGGACTAGGCATTACTGCATAACGAACCAATTTGCCAAACCTCATATCATCACATCAAGCGACAAGACAATAAAATGGAAGGTGAAGAAGGAAAGAAATATCGGTCAAAGGAAGTAGAAGTAGACGTAGAAAGTGGTAAAAGAGAGAGAGGAAGGATGAGAAAATGATCACATTAAGTTTAGCAGATAAGATGGGGATTATGTATGTATGCATCTGCGCCAATGACATTAGTTCTGAGCCATATCACCTAGAGTCTCCAACCACTC